TGATTCGGGACTTGACAGCTCTGTGGCTCTTGGACAAGCCTAGCAAAGGCCCCGGGTATCCTGGAGAGGGCAGAGGCTCAGTAACCGTCATGTCCCGATCAGATCCTAAAGGGGATGGGAGCCAGACCTATGGCAAAAGCTGGACTGGGCTTAGCTGATCACAGAGCTCTGACTGGGATCTTGTTTGCACACATCCATGGTGTGGGGGAAGGGTTCCATTAATAATTCTGGCATGCCTCCCCTGGGTCAGGTCCCCCGTGTGATGCAGTTGTCAAGCCAGTCCTAGGGGAGATGTGATTCACCCTCTTTTTACAACTGCAAAATCCCAGCTCAGACGGCTAAAGAGCCTCGCTGTGCCTTGCGCTGCTTCCCTGGCAGCATATGGCGGAGACGAGGAAACTTGATAAGGTGAAACTGAAGCACACAGCCACCCAGGAGAAAACCCCACTGCCTTCCAGAGAAACCATGGAATGGAAGAAGCAAGCAGGCCAATCCGAAAGAGGGCGAGATGCGCGGTGCACGCCGCAGAGCTGGCCACCAAGGGAAGGAGGGCTCAAAGCTACTGGACCTGGGAGCCTCCTTATCTCACTCATCTTTTCAGAGTAGGGAATGTGTGCTCAAGTCTGAGGGGAAGGGRTGTCATTATCTTGGCCATGGGTGGCTGTCATTTTGTAAGATGCAGAGAGGTTGGATCCAGTCCACTTTAAATGACTCAGCTGCCCCTTTCACATCAAAGAATCAAGAACTTCTGAAAAGGAAGGCCGTGCCTGCCTCTCCCATCTGAGCGCCTCCTGCCTGGCAGGGAAGGAAAAGGAACTTCCATGTTGCTGAAGGAAGCAGCTCTGGCTGGGATGCTGGTGAGCTCCAGGGTGAAACCCAGAGCTCAAACTCCCTCACGCTGAGAGTATAAACCACCCCTGGCCTGTCCCAGTGCCAAGAAGTGAGGCCTCCTGGGCTAGCACAGACTAGCCACGCACACACATCACCAGGCTTTGTTCTATCAGTTGCCATGGCTTCTGGGGGACCCCAAAGAAGCCATCCAGCTGCTTCTCCCCAGTTTGATCCAACTGCATAAAATTCATTCCTCTTGTCTCCATCACTTTCTTCTGCAGGCAGGCTGCTGAGTCTGGCCAGCTGGGATCCAGGAAGCTGCCCTGGCTGGGTGGTGGGTCCAAGTGTCCTGCAGGCTGTACAATCAATCCAGTTAATCAGAGTGCCATCTCGTGTGTGWGTGCGTGCAGGCGTGCAAATGATTTTAAGTACTGGGATGAAYGAATGTTAAATACGCAAGTAGAAGTTTTTAAAATTTGGAGGGAAAAATACAACTCTGCTGAGGACCACACAATAGCCCCCGAGGAGAGGCCCATCTGGCTGCCTTCAGAGTTRTTTTGTCATCGCAGGTCCCAGCTGGTTTCCTTCTGCCAGAGGAAGTTTGTATTTCTTTGCTTTTTGATAAAGTCGCTGTTTTTGATGTTTTGCTAGGGGTGACAGGGCGGCTCCATGGTGGCCTCTTTGGGAAGGGTGGGGTTTCCTTGGGAAATAAGTCTCAGTCCTCTGAGGGTTTGGCCACACKGACTTGGGTTGAATTGGCACCTGGAGTATGTACCTGGAAAGGCATTAGAATGCGGTGACTCTGTCCCTTGATGCTCACTGCCGTGTGGTCAAGTCTGGGCACTGGCTTCCTGCGTGGGTGCTCCCACGTCTCTGTTTGGATCCGCCCAGCCTGCTACTGGAACTGACTTCTGGGCTTCTGTCCTTGCTTGGGCCTTCTGCCTTGGGGCCGCTCCTGTGGGTCGTTCCTTTCCAGTAGAGCCTGAGAGGCTGTAAACCCCCTAACCCTGGCTGWCCTGGGGTGAACTTCCAGCTGAGCAAGGATATCAGGGACAGGAGAGGAGGCCTGGATGGGGGAAGTCCTTCTTCTCAGAGTAGGGAATGTGTGCTCACGTATGAGGGGGGGGTGTCATTATCTTGGCCATGGGTGGCTGTCATTTTAAGCAGAACCAGATTTGCTGGCATGAAAAAAAATTATTTTTAAACAATCAGTAGATGCAGGCACTGCAGTGAGATCAGCCTCAATTAAAATTGTCACATGGGAAAAATCCTAGGGCATCTTCCTCCACTCTCCCCACCCCACCCAAACCCACTGCCATGGACAGGAATGTCAGCTTCTCACTGGTTCCCCACAGAAACTTCCAGTTCCTCCCAATTTTTGGTTATATTGGAAGGTACCAGGAGGGTACCAGAGGACAGTCTGGGGAGCATTAGCCCCGCCCTCCCCTGACACATACATTTTCTTCATTAACCTCCTGAAACTAACCCAAACACACAATCAATAAAAACATTGTGCTTTCTCTGAAAACAGGGTGTCCAAGGAAGAACTTCTCAAATTTTATTGCACATATACAGCACCTGGGGATCTTGTTAAAATGTAGATTCTGATTCAAGAGATCTGAATTGGGGCCCCCCAAACCTGCATTTCTAACAAGCTCCCAGAGGATACTAAGGCAGCTCTGAGAAACCACACTTTGCTTCTGGAAGCTCCAGGCAACCCCATCCCTGCCTCCCACCAGTCAGCTAAATGCCTCCTGATCTTATTCCACAGACTTCTGGGAGGGCTGTAGGATAGGAAGAGGGTGCCCTGAAGTCAGAGTCTTTCTGCTGTCTCCGTCTCTGTCTCATAGCCACACACCTCAGAGACTCAGATTGCAAGTCTAGACTCAAGCCATAGTCTGGGCTCAGCAGGGAGTTTCCAGGGGTTGCTTCCTTCTCTGGGCCTCAGTCTCCTGATCTGAGAAAGAGCTGAAGGCTCCTTTAGCGCCAACATTGTTTCTAATTTATCAACAAGCATATCTGAACCCTTCCCTACACATCTGAGGCCTCGGCTTCCCGTGCAAACTCCACCCCATTTTGCTTATGCACCTTTGAAGGATCATTACCTCCTCCGGTCTTGGTGCCCTTGTTTACCAGGTAGGGGATGACAAGGCACCTTATCTGGACAAGTCAGGATGTAAACAGGGCCTTGTACTGAAAGGTGCCTAGCATAGTTCTTGGCAAAGTAAGGATCAGTCGATGTGTTTGGATTGGTTCATGCTTGTGGGGAGAAATCAGGCTGCCTACCCTGTGTCGCTGTAGAGGGGAATCAAACTGGATCCTGCCCTCCAGTCATCAGAGTGCACAGATTCTAGGTGAAAGGATGGGAGGTGGCAGCTAAGGAGACCCGGAGGGGATGCCTTTCCTGTGATCTGAAGAAGAAATAAAAGAAGGATAGGGGATGGTGAGTGGGGAGGGCATGCCTGATGTAACTCCTGATGAGCAGGCATTGGTAGGAGACCCCTGACCATATTCTGACTCAAACACTGAAAATGCATGWTTGTTGGGGGAACTAAAGCAAGAGGGGCAGGAGTATGGAGGTATCTAGATTTGGGGGCTTTAGATGGTAGAAATGTGTGGGACTTCTGATGGGGTGAGGGTGAGGAAGGTCAGGGATAATCTCTGCCTGACTTCTTCTGGGCCTTAATCATTCTGGCTGGGAAACTGGAAAGTGCTGACAGGGTGTGCAGCAGAGGGCAGCTGTGATAACAAAGAATTTCATCCTAAAAGCACCCAATCAGGATAATGATGGTGGTGATGACATGCCCTAATTTTAATRTCATGACATTTCACCAGGGGGATGGAAATGGATACCCTCACTGATGACATTTCTGTTTGGAAGCTCTCAAGATTCCGTGTAGGTGTTTTAAAAAATTTTAAATTTATTTTATTTAAAAAATTTATTTACTGATAAAAACATACTGTTACCGCTGTTGACCGGTGACGAGTCCTTGCTTCCCCAATGTTGAAGAATAACACCAGAGAAGGTCAGAGTAGAAATTAGAAGTTTATTAAAGGACAGCAGAAAAGACTTCTCCGGGAGGAAGAAGGGGACCCAAGAGGTGGAATCCTTGAAGGATGAATGTGTTCCCCTTTTTATAGTTTTGGTGATGGAATATAAGGGGGAAGGGCTGGGACACAGGTGGGCCAAACAAATAAGGACTTCATTATCACTTCTTTGGGATGGGCTATCTCCATATCTGTTGGGGGCTGTTTCCTGGGTTCCATTAACATTTCTTTGGGGTGGACTTTGGCCTAGGGCTTTTCCGGGATTTCATTAACATTCCATGAGTTGTCCTGTTTCCTGGAATCATTGTCAGCATGGCCTCCATTTTAGATTTCACTCGATATTAGACCGGATTTACCTAACTACACTGACTACCTAATTTTAAATCTGGCTTCAATACTGTATGCAGGTCCTGGATGCAACTATGCTGCCTTTGGCTTCCASTTAATCAGTGTCATAACAATATGGGCAAAATCATGGAAAACCTATTTGATAGTCAAATGGAAATGAAGGGTGCCATTTGTGACCCTGATGGGTCCTTTCACTTGACTGTTGTTAGATGATTCTCAACATTGCTAATGAAAATAAAGTGGGCAGCATGTTTGCCCAACCCCTGGTGTAGGAGAGGAAGGAAAGGGGCACTTGGGCGTAGTATTTCCATTAAACAGTCTACATGTGCCCTTTTGTCATGCACTCAATGGAACAAATCGTCTCTGAGCTAGGAAAGCGACAAGGGGCAACATACTTTAAAACCTCCAAGCCCTCCCCTAGAGACCATGTTGGCCTAGTCTCTCAGGGGCTTAAAGTTACCAAAAGTGATCTAAAKTTGTTTTTAACAACGTGGCTTGAATGAGAAGCTGGTAACCAACAGGGACCAACTGCAGTTCCAGGCCTCAGACCTTCCCTGAAAGTTCCAGACCTTCCCTGAAAGGCCCGGGAACCCCTGCCTGGCCAKCAGGCGGCGCGCACGCGCTGTGGGGCCCCGAGGAGAAGGGGGACCTGGTGCCGCGACGGGACGTGCTCGCGGCCGGCWGCGGCGGGACCGCGCACGCCGGGGCTCCGGGAGGCAGCTGGCTCCTCCAGAGCCACTTCCGGGAGGGGCGGGGCCGGCCGCGGTCCGACCTCCAATCTCTGCGGCTGTGGCCACCCTGGGAGCTCCAGCGCCGCGGTCCGCGAGTCAGTCGTGCGCTGAGGAGGAGACGCGGGAGGTGGGACGGCCGGCGAGGGAGAGTACCCTGGGCAGGAACCGGCCAGCTGGTTCCGGCTGAGGAGGTGGAGGGGCCCCGCGGGCTCCGGCTGGGGAGAGCCGGCCCGCAGTGAGCCCGGGAGGCGGGCGGCCGAGGCCGGGCGGGCGCGGGCCGGGGGTCCGGGCTGAGCGGATGGGAGGCCCGGAGTGGACGGAGCGCGGGAGCAGGGGCCGGGCCGCCCGGGCTCGCTGGCCCTTCTGTTCTGGAGGGAGCCGGGGCGGGGGGGACCCCGGGTCCGACCCTCGGCCCGGGTTAGGTGCTTGGGGGGCTGGGACTCGGCGACCCCTGACGAGGGTGGGCGGGGCGTGTCCCCTGGTGTCTGCCCGTGTGCACTGCTTTGTGGGAGGCTGGATCTGGGTCCGCGTCGCCCGCTGTGGGAGGAAAGCAAGTTGCAGCAGGATTCTGATTTTCTGGTTTGGGGTGGAGTGTGATATCAGGGAGTGAAATCGAAGCGATCCAGAAAGGGAGAATATTCTGTCTTGGCTGCTTTGGTGAATCTGGGTGGACCATTGGGGCCGTCTCAAGCTTTAGAAGTAAACAAACCTGTTTCCCTTTTTCAGAAGCTGCAAAAGGGGGGCGCCGGGAGGACGTCGGAAKAGGAAGATGCCTAATACCGACCTTCTGATGTTGGTGAGTCTTTCCCCGAGGTCCTCATCCTCAGACGGTTCTTGTTCCTGAATTTTTATTTTTAGTCGGAAGGATCTGAGGGTGGGGATTTTACCCCTGATGTTTTCTTTTGGTAGCTGAGCGTTGTTGCCATCTTTTGGGGGAGAGTCATGATCAGGATGAATAAACAATTGACCAAAATATATTAATACAGCACACAGAGACCTTAGAATCCCCGCCTCTGTGCTGGAGATCAACTCGGCACCTTGCCCACATCAGGCAAGTTCTCTATCACTGTGCTGCATCCCCAGTCCCTTTAAAATTCTTAAATCTTTTTGAAAATTCTTGCAGGTGACTTTAATCTCTTTCATTCATACTACCAGAGCAGTTTAAAAACTCCTATTTATTCATTTTATGCTGCTCTTTCATGTATTAGTTTAGCAGCATTTGTCTCCTAGAGTTTTGATTCCTTGGAAGGCAGATAACATGGTTTATATGTTTAGAGATGAGTGAACAAGTATCAAAGGGCTCTGAATATAGTAAGTGCTTAATAAATGCTTGTTGAATTTTTTTTGAACTAGTCTGGATTTAAGTTGTTGCCTGATTTTGTGGAAGCTGTTTTCTTGCTTCCTGAAATCTTTTTTAAATATTTTTTTTGTTATAGACTGATACAATATCTTTATTTTGTTTATTCATTTTTTWAAAATGTGGTGCTGAGGATTGAACCCAGTGCCTCACATGTGTAAGGAAAGCACTCTGCCACTGAGCCACAACCCCAGCCCCTCCTGAAATCTTTATGTGTTTTTTTTTTTTTTTTCACTGAGCAGGAAGAAAAGCATTACAAGATGCACAATGACATTCTATTCTTAGGACATTTATGATTCTGTGATTCTGCATAGGCTCTTTAGCATGAAAGTTGTGGGGAGCCCACAGCAGTACAGAAAAAGTATCTGGGTTTAGTTTTTGTTGAATAAATCACTACTCTGAGTCTGGTATCTCCTTGTGCACTATCAGTGATTTAAGAACAAGTTTCCCACGGCTGTGGTTATGGCTCAGTGGTAGAGTGCTTGCCTAGTATATGCAAGGCACCACATAAAAATGAATAAATAAAATAAAGGTATAATTTTTTTTTTAAATAACAAATTTCTCTTTATCTCATTAACCTAGAGAGTTGGTTGTTGTCATTGAGAAACTGTCAAAAACTAGTTGTATGGTTCTTATATTAGCACTGACTTTCTGTAGTGGTAAACCTGTAAAGTCTTCAGGAGGGATAATGAAGAGGGAAACTAAGTTGTGATCCCTCCTGGTTTAAAGTTGTTTTTCCTGAATGTAAGAGCAAAGGAATACTTGGTTTATATACAGAGCCTGATGATAAGTTCTCGAAATATATTCTTGCCCCAAGTGTCATGGATTTTCAGTAGATGATAAATAGCCTTATGTAATTTAAAACTTGTATTATAAGAACATTATGTTAGAAACATTGTAAACTGTAAATAAGAGAAGGAGACAAATCTCTCATGTCCTCTCCTGCTTGCAATAATTTCATCACCCAGACATAATCACTATTAGCGTTTTGGAATGTTCATGCAGAATGGCTTATAACAATTGGAAGTTTTTTATTTTCCTCTTATAGATTGATATGTTTACATAAATTATAGATTTCTATATTTAAGTAGGATATTTCTCCATATACAGAGTTGTGCTTATTTCTTCTAGGGCTTATGAGTGWACTTTAGCAGTCTAAGCAGTGATTGCATTTATTTAGAGTATTAACTTTGGAGTCAGTTTTCTTTTGAAATATTTCTCAGCTGTTGCCATATCTTTTACTTCCTCACCTAATAATCTAGAATGTTCAGTATTGCTTTGCTTTTTGCTGTAAGGATTAATTTATGTAAGTGTGAGTGGCCCTTGATAGTTATCATTTCCTGAAGATAATGTACAGGTTGCGTGAAATGCTTGTACTGGAAAAGCTGTCATCCCCTCCTYGATTGCAATGTTCTATAGGCTAAATGGTAAAGAACCAATGGCCAGCACTGGGGTTCTCAACAGGACACTAAACTGTCATGATCGAAGTTCAGCATGCTCTAAATAGTTTATGTGATATATAAGACAAGTTCTTGGGCCTCTGACTCGGAAGAAAGGATGCAAATGAATGAAAAAAAACCTYGGTGCAAGGCAGTATCTCATAGACTCTCACAATTAAAAACTGTTAATTATGATATTGATCATATAATTATATGATGCAGCTTCTTATATTGCATATGAATCCTTTTTTTGGAACATCTCTGTTAAATGGATACCCAAGTCACTCATCCCTTCTGCTAGCAGAATAAGAGGAGCAAAAGCCAGGAACCAATACAAGGTGGAGTCAGCAATAATAGCATCACTCTTATAGTTAACTTTTATTGAGCATATATTATATACTAGGTACAAAATATATATATTCTACATATTTACTCAATTTTCATAAAAACCATTTGAAAAATATGCTGGCATCCTTCTTTAATAGTTGAAAAACTATACTTATASCAGATATCACAACAGTGAAGTAGCGGGCCAGATCATACCTCAGATGGTCTGACTTCAGACCCCTCCCTCTTATCTACCTTGTGCCAATGGTGTATGTTCATGATATGGAACTGAGTTTGCTGACTATCCACTGGGACTGACAGGAGAGGGTTAGTGTAGAACACAAAGATTGGATTGCTCTGCCCTCTAGGGAGCACTTTGGAAATGTTGGGGTGAAGGAGAAGGGAGTCTTTGTCTTCTAATRTAGTCTTGTCTGAAAATACATTTCATTATAAAATTTTCTTGTTAGGAACACTATGTAGAAGAAGGGATTGAGAAGGAGGGAGGAAGGGATGGCCTGGGGAAGTACAGAGGAATGAAATCTACCAAGTTATACTGTGTCCTTATGTGAGTATACCGCAATGAATCTCATGTCTGTGTGTGTGTGCGCACGCTTGTGCATACACACATATATGATTATATATAATTATAATGCACTAATTAAGATAGCTATGATAATAATAGAAGGGAGATTAGTAAAACAGCAAGTGGTTTGAGGGAGGCAGGAGGGAAGGTATTGGGGAGTGAGATTGATTGTTTTATGTTATGTGCGTGCACAAATAAGATATGATGAATTCCACTATTATGTATAATCATAATACATCAGTAAAAAAAGAAAAACATTAAAATCTTGTTTATTCTACATTGTAGTTAGGTCATAATATTGAAATTTAAAGTTTGTATCTCTATAGATACAATATTATAATCTTTGGATTTCACTTCAGAATAGTAAAGGGGCATTATAAAATATTTGTTATTAAAAAAGATTGGGTTTGATAGGGGTGAAAACCGCTTGTGTGGACAGATGCTGAGAGAACACCTGAAATCATCTGACACTCACACGTAACAGCTGAATCCACACGAGGGAGCTTGGGCTGTCACTCTTCAGTGCATTTCTGCTCTCAATTTTGTCCTCATTTGAGGAGGGTGGTTTGCCTGCCTTTTCTCATTTGCTCACATGTGCATGTCAATGACTGTTAATACTTTCCATCTGTGTCCCAGTGAAAATAAAACAAGTATGTTCCTCTTCTGAGAGACGTGATGCTTTCAAAGGGAATTCAAATCCGGCAACTTGGTAGCCTCCTGTCTCTCTTTCAGCAGCCTTTCTTTTCATCCATATTCTTCTAAGTGCCAGTGGGCGGCGTTACTTTGCAAGTTGCCAAATACTTGTAGTTTAAAGGAAAAGGTACTTAATAAAGCCAGGTGTACTCCTTAGATCACTTTTCTATTTTCCCATTCAAAGATGATGATTAAATTAGCTGGTATCACAGGTAAATCAAGGTTAGCATTTGTGGCCTGGTAGTACTGCGTGGGGTTTGAGTGGTAATTGTTTATCTAGGGCAGTGGTTCTCAAACTGGAGCATGTTTGCTCCCCAGGAACATCTAGCAATCTCTGGGAGACCTTTTTGGTTGGCACACCTGAGACCTTCGTCTGTTGGGTGGGAATGAAGAATGCAACCAAACATCCTACAATGTACACAGTTCACAAATAGAATGATCTAACTAGGAATGTCAGTAATGCTGAGGTTGAGAAACCATAGTCAGAACTTCCCTAACAGAGATAACTGGGTGTCAGTGTAGTCTGTGCTTTACTATAGATTGGCAAATGAGTCTTAGAGTTGGTGGGTCTGTTCCCTTGTTACTTACAGTTGTTGTGACTGTGAATCAAGCCCTGCTGCTTTAGAATAACCTTGGAGAGTGTGTAGCATGGACTGCAGCAGAGCAGAATTTTTAAGAAATGCTTTTCTTCTCAGTATTTCATCAGTCTTCTTGATTTCAAGAACAGCAAACCTCCCTCAGTTTGGGGTTTTGGTTCTTGGTTCAAAGTCAAATCTTTACATGTCTTTGAGTGTTATCTTTGAACTCCCTGAAACCTTTTTCCGGATCCCCCCCCCCCCGAATTTTGAATGGAATGTAAGCAATAAACTGAATTAAAAGCTCATTTATATTATTTGTGCCTATTTTTTGTTTATAAAATTAGAAGAAAGATAAAATTCATTGGAACTGGTAGATAGGACATTTAAAATTTATTGACATTTGGGTGGCCATTATAGGATGAACAATATTTGGTATTGTTTCAATCTTATAAATGAAGTGGTACTATGATACCTTCTACAGCCTTTGGTCTAAACAAAAGGGGAGTTATAAATAGATAAACACCCAAATCCCAGTATTTGGCTTAGTTTTGCAGTCTGTGTGTCAAGAATTCTTAGTAACATTTGCCTTCTTAATTCGACATTGCCCAATCTAATATCATATACAGTTTGTACACCTAGGTGGCAGAGTTAAGAACCATCCTGGGTTAAGAATTTTCTATAGAGAATTGATTTGTAGTAAATCAGTCCACTTGTGTAAACATCGAGAACCCAATTACTGAAAGGAAAACCATACTGTGGGGTGAGGGGAGATAGGAATCTTCTGGAAAGATGCAATAGTGAAAGCTGTAAGTAGTGTGT